AAAATATAATCCAAACATTTCCGAAGTTCGACAATTCATGTGGAGTGTCCTAGACTATATAAAGAAAACCCACGTGGTGCTTGCTATAACATTAAAAGTACCACCCCATTAAGAGCGTTAGCTTGTGAACAGTTGACACTTGCAGCACGTTGCTCAACAACCAAAAAGTAACAACTGTGACAGTGGTTAATTTACACTCATCCTGTGGATACATGTGTGTTCTTTTCTAGCATTCTTCTTGGTTTGTTTAAGCAGCACGCTTCCAGTGTCGAGCTGTGACATTTGTTCATCAGCACTCGTCCTGTGCGCTCTCATTTCGTGCATCCTTTTTTGCTTGAGCGGCGAGCTGCATGTATGGGGTTGTTTGCCCTTCTTCGCGTGACATTCCAATGTCTCGCTATCGCATTCACTGGTCCACCCTCGCCACAAAACTAACATTTTTTTTCACGTGCATTTTTTCAAAATGGGACCATGTGCACCCATGCCGCATTACAGCTTTGAGAATGGGCAGTTTGACAGGCACACACACCGATCTACCACATTTAGGAAGTCGCGATGTCGATATGAGAGTGCACTACTCACAAAATTCAAGCATTTTCAAGGATGGCAAAAAATTTTAGGACTTTAAAGAGCTTTGAAAATGTTTTTTTTTCAAACTCAAGGGTTTTCAAGGCTTTCAAGGACCTGTACGAACCCTGCATTAAGATAGGAGAAGCTGGTATAAATTGTTTGCCAAATAGATTCTTAATGTAACTATAACCATTTATTCATTGCAAACATGATACTGTACCTCAACTGAACCATCCTTTGGAGCTTGCTTCAAAGGGCAGAGAGTCATGGGAGGCCAAAAATCGTGTAAAGATATCAAAATTATAAAACTGACTGAAAGGAAATACTTCTTTCTGGGAAGGAAGCTTCTCCTCAAGTCTTTGCATATTTGGAACACACTCATCAACATTAAAGAGATACTGAACAACACTAGCCAACTAGAATTTTAGCCTAAACAAGCTTGTGCGCTGAAGTTAGTTGACGCAGCCTTGTTTTTAGGCAGAAACTAATGAATAATAATTTAAAACAATATATTGTGCCATGGACTAGCAATAACATTGCCTTCACTAGAAACAGTGCACCAAACATGCTGCTGACTGCTGATGCATGTCTGGCAGCATAAAAGACCAATGACATCCCGGTAATGCTGCTCCTGGTCCACACCACGTCATGACCTCTGGCAGTAGCCAGCATGCCGAAATGTCACATTTTCAGAGTAGAATTCTGATATTTCACTTTTTTTAAGTTTTGTTCAATAATTTTTTAACCGCTTGTTGGAAACACTTCCCACTCAGAAAGAGGCTTCTTGAGCCTTGATACATTCAGAACACCCCCAGCAACATTGCCTGCGTGTTAGCAATGTTGTCAAACCAGTTTATAGTAAACTCGAAAGTGCCACGATAAGTGGTCGTTATATCAGTAGTTCATTGTACATGGACTAGCCCATAAATACGTCAACTTAGCGGCTGAACCATTTTTTTTCTGCGTATCTTTATTAAAAGCTAACAACTCCTCCACCAAGAAATTAGACCATTTGCATGTTAAGCGACGCCTGTTTGCTGAGGAGTGAATGGGACCATCTTTGCGATGAACTCGCGCTGTTCTACTGAAGTACGATACCACCACATCCAACAAATCACCCGACTAGTTGCATGCAGTACATCACTTACTCGGCTCGCACTGTCGCATGCCGGGCCACTTGCAGTCACGTACACGTTTGTGCGTTCGTTGTGCATGCTTCACTCTGGATTGTGCTTAGGTGTGGCGAGAAGCCTGTCCGTTAAAAAGTTATCGCTTCTCACATTTATAGCTTCTTGCATTTGAAGGCATTGTTCGATTAATCGATGAGGGTCGTAGATGCCAAGAACGGCATCAGAAATGTTTGCCTTGCGAAAGCTGACCGCAAGTCTTCATGGTGCCTCCTACTTCTTTTCTTTTATTTCCTCCCTTTTATTCTACCGGTCGGTGGAGAAACGCCTGGCGCCTTGAAGTGAGCGACCTCGCTACTAACGTCCAAAATTTGCGTGCGGTGCTCGCTGTGGTCTACGGTATCTTCGTCGCAAGTTAACTACAGCAGGGCACACACAAGTGCATGCCCATCACATACTTTAGAATGCCAGTTTAATCATCTTTTTGCTGTGTTTGCGCCATATTTGTATCGAAACCGTGTCGGAAGTGTTCGTTGTAAAAGTAGAAGGCTTTGAAAAATGTTCGCTATATGTGGGCTTAATTTCAATGGGTAGCGTAGGAAAATCGTAAGTGCACCAAAATATTATCGTTATAACCGATAGATCATTATAAGTGGGCTCGACTGTATATTCAAATGACCTTCGTGACACAATGCACAGGAGGAACCAAGGTGAGATGAGGAAAGTGATGCCTCCACAAATTATAGTTTACACCTGAGGAAAGGACCGAACAGGTCTTGAACCGTTCAGTCTATAATATAAAAAAAAAACTATAGCTGGTGCCAGTTAAGCATCAAGAATTCTTTCACCCAGCCAGGGAAACATGTTTAGAGCCACAAATCTTCAACGCTCATACAGGCAGCAGAAAGCAGCACTCACATCCCCAACAAACTGAATAAATTGGATGGTGGGTTAAGTTGCAGTTGTTTTGCTATTGAGTTGGCTGTGTGCAGCCTATTTAGGGCACAGCCTCTCAAAAGGGCCATGACACCGTCACCCAACAACTTTCGGTTTTCAGCAAAAAATAGAAATGGAATGTCTTTGTGCCTATGCATATATGAAAAAATGAACCATAAAAATATATTTCATAGCAAAATAAGCCCTCGAAGTCGCAGGCTATAGAGCCCGCCCACCACCGGCCACCGCCATTTAGCTATGACATGTGTGCAGTCATGTGCTGCACGGAGAGGAGCCATTGTTTTCTGCCATTGCAGCCACCACAAATAGTTCAATTTCACAGCTAAGCTAAACAAGGCTGAAACAGCTCGACTGCATGTGCAATGGAACATAATCAATCGCTGGAAGGAAGACGCTCGCACAGCAAGCAGCTTCTTACCTCGCGGCTCGCGAGTGCACAGCATCGCCAAACTCTCAGGCCGCATGCAAGTTTTGAAAAAATATTGCTAACAATTTAAGTGCGCAGCCGAAAAGCTAAAAATGGGTGTCTTGGAGCCCCTTAAAAAAAATGATAAAAATCATTGTAGCTTTTACCGATGCAGAAGACAAACAGTAAATCATGCTATGCCGTCACCTAAAAGAAATTGCCATTACAACTACTCATGCATGCAATTGCGAGTTTTATCACCTCCTGATTCACAGAGGGTCAAGCTCAGTTTGGAAACATCTTTGTCACTATAAAATGCAAACAAATTTTTCCACAGACTTTTTCTGGACTTCTGCAACTGAGCAATCAAAGGGGCAACAAACACCAATCCACCAGAGCCGAGCTTGATAGCTGCTGCCATTTTAAGGTCTAGACTACCTCAATCCCTGCAACAGTGCTAACATGTCCAGACTTTTACACTAGCCCACAAAATACAATACAGGTGACCTGTTTACTTCACACCTTAAAGGCTACTCTCATGCATTTGGAAAAAAGTTATTGCAGATAAACGGGGCTATCCCTTTGAAGCACGATTGAGTTCAATGCAAGTGTTGCACCTATACTGCCAAAATTGCAAGGCTTGCTTACACAATAGGTTATATAAGCCTGTCACAGAAACTTCCACAAAAATATTTACATCCCTGTGCTTGCTTCAAGAGTTGGAACAACCATGAACATAATGCTGCGCATGCATCCTCAAGCAAGTGTGTACTGAACTATGATTAATATATTCACGAAAGCATTAACATCAGCTGTCTTGCATCAGTGAAAACACAGGCAATCAGAGACCTTTCCACAGAATCTCTGATGCAGTTTATCCCCTTCAGCAGAGTTACCCCAAATACGACAAGCTCATATTTTTTTAAAACCAAGCCACTGCAATGACATCACAGAGTTTCAGTACACACACAGCCCATAATTCAGATTAAACAAAAAATGGCAACTTATTAAACTAGTCCACAATGAAAGGAACCAGCAAATCAATGAAAACAACCTGAAAAAATGTATTCATAAAGGTCCCAAGGGGTCCATGGTCAATGAATTTTTTGGCGAAAAAATTTCAGGCAGCTTCACCTCAATGTCATGAAGGAGAAAAGAAGAAAAAAAAAACGGAAGGACAGGGTGGCTAGTCAGAATGTTGTGAAGGCTGGTTAAACCGTGGAGCTGGTGGCAACACATGGTCTGCATCGGTCCAAACGAGAGGCGAAGAGTAGGAGAGCACAGGAGCGTTAATTGTGCTCTTCCTCTGTCCTCTTCTTCCCATTGCCTGCTTTGCTCTCATTATAGTTTAACCTTTGCTCTCCTCCACTCTATCCAGCTTGACTTTGTTCATCCTTGTTTCACCAGACTCTACGAGTCACACTAGGCTTCTCTCCCACCCACTTAGCTCAATCCATTCTCTCCCTCTTGAACCTAAGCTAGAAAGTGCGGACAACAATCTCCATGGATTTACCTCGGCTTTCAACAGCTCCCATGTTAATATAAAATGGAAATACTGCCCTCTTTGTAAAATGCCATCTCATCTGGATCAAACATCATGAAAAATAGCGGGTATGTGCCCAGAGTTTCGCGGCTTTGCCGATATTGCTCTCTTGACATGTGTAGCCGTGCATATGACTCTAAGAGTTGGCACCATGACCAGACCAAAATGGTCTTGAAGTTCACAAAAAGAATCATTTCGGCCTTTACATTTGAGGAGAACGAATCTTTGCAATAGGCATGTGCGAACATCTGTCAGTGCAAGTGCACCTTGATCAAAATTTTAACATCAGACTTTAATTGTCAGTATTGCTACAATAAATGGGTTTCCCCTGAAATGTCTTCCAATTTTTTCAAAACTGAGTTATCGCTCTAACGTTTTAATATTACATTTTTCTTACCTTCATGTTTTCTTTATCTATAATCAGCATCTTGTGGTCTTTACTAGGCTTGATTATCTGCACCGGAGCATCATTAATGACATAAGATTGGAGACCTAGAACGAAGAAAGAGATTAAGGTAAAAATTCCAAAGTGACACTCAAATTCTAAATGATGGTGCAACCATTATACCATACTCACCAGCATTTGATGCAATTGTGCGAAATTTTGTAGTGTTTTCTTGCACATCGACACATCTTAAGCAGAATGCATTTTTATACAGAAAATTTTTGCAGTTGACGAACCTGTTCACAGTCTTCTGACATGCACAGAATTTTTAATAGACAGTTTCCTGTGGTTATTGAATGGTTGTATCTGACAGCATCTAGAAATTTGACGTTCACCAATTTCTTCTGGTACACACGCACACGTCTCCAATGGTTATCGAATGGTTGTATTGGACACCATCTATAAAATTGATATTCAATTGTTTTTTTTTTGGGTACACACACACACGTCCTAGTTATGGCGTACTAAAGGTCAGCTTTTACCATTCCTGGCAGCTTGCAACAGCGTCAATGCAACGCATAAAATGCGAATACAGGTTTTTCAGTCTTTCGATCCAGTCAACATTCTTCGCAAGCTCATACACTACGTGTGCATGAATTTGTCCTGCGCGTATTATCGTTCATGTCGTAATTTAGGCAGTTCAATTACGTCCTCTATGCACTACAGAATCACGCAGGTACTCGCACGTCGTCAACGAAGTTAATGAGCGCAATAAACAAAGAGCTGCACTTGCCAAACAAAGAGACAACAGTTAGACACGCTTAAAATGGCGGTGAAGGACACTTACTTGCATTCAGTGGAGAAAACAAGGGCAAGAAGATCAATGCAAGTGGCACAAACCACACAGGATGCTTCAAAAGAGGCACCCACGTAGACCCCATTTTCTCAATGCTTGCGGCTCGACGAGATTTCTAGGTGGTGCCCAGCAGTTGGCGTTCCTGTTGGTGCCCTCCCTCGTCAGTCACGCCACCGGTTTAGTGCAAGCTCTATTAAGAAAAGATCTATTATAATGTACTAATGTTTACCGCGTGAATTTTGTTGGTTCGTTCACGTGTGAACACAAAGAATTCTCTGGCATAACATAATCTATCGCGCCCCAAATTACAGCTGTTATTACAAATTACACACGTAAGAAAGCTGTTGCTAGGGCTATTCAGAAAAACACGCTTCCTCCCAGTTTAATGCCTGATTTTACTGACTGTTACAAGTACAGCCCATCCTGTATCTCGTTTTCTTGTTTCCCGCTCCCGCTGCAACACCCAGCCGGAAACGTACGCACTTGCGCTGGAGTGTACTAGAAGTGTTGAGTGGCGTGACCATGCCTCGCCGCATAATCCCTTCCGCGCTGCCTGCAGCGGCGGCGCTGCAGTCGAATAGTACTAAAAGAGCCGCGTGCAGAAACTGCTATGCGCTTCGGCTCCTCCGTCACGCTTTCTTGATGCAGATTTCTTCGTACCTGCCCATCATTCATGTCTAGCACATGATGCCATAACCCTTGAAGTATGAGACGCCAACCTAGTGAATTTGAGCTCTATAAAAGCCTTTGTGAGCGATCGAAAATAATTCAGACAGGGTGTGTCTTATACAGATATCTTCTCTCTTAACTCTTTCTTCGTTGGTCAGGTGCAACGTTACTGGATGAGCTCCATCCAGTAACGTTGGTCAGGTGTCACAATATTCAGAATAACTGAGCCGATTTATTAGAAACTAGCTGTGCTCAGAAAGCTGAGATTTAAAAAAATACTGTGCCACACACAATTGGTCTTTGTTCTTGCTGTGCAAGAACAAAGACCAATTAAGAAAAGAACTGTGCCACACGTACGCAGAACCAGAAAGCCGTAAGTAAAGAGGGGAGAGGAAAGGAATCTGAACCCCCTACAACACAGAATGTTTTCGTAACTTAACTTTTCAGGGTATACTAAAATATTTACACGCATTCACAGCGACCACCAAGTGCCAAAGTTAGAATGTAGATTTCACCTTTTCGACAATATTAGGTCTCATAACTTGTTCAAGTCTAACGTAGTCGGATGAGCACCGCCTAAAATAGTAGCTGTGCTAAGGTGCATTGCATGAACACACACATGTATATATATATATATATATATATATATATATATATATATATATATATATATATATCTATATATATATATATATATATATATATATATATATATATATATATATATATATATATATATATATATATACGTGTCTGTGTGTACATATACAAGCAAAGTAAATTTCCCAAAAACAAATGCACCACTGTGTGCCTACACTTTTGGCGCTTAATTATAGAACTACGGTTACAATACAAAACGTCGTCACAAATTTACTCGCTTGCAATGGCCTTACGCCAATGAAATATTTAGAAATCAGCGAAATTTAAGCTGTCGGTACAAAATGAAAACTGGTTACAATTGATTTATGCAGATTAACAGATGGGCTATATATACAAATGACACTTCTTAATATGTTTGTGTGTTGTTTTAATGAGTTTAACATGTAATAAGCCTTTCGGAAAGCAATATTTATTATCTTCTGCAAAACAGGCATGATAAAGCAGAGTTGTCATCGATTAATGTTGTGACAACGTTACTGATGCTCGGGTTTCTCGTGAAACAATCGTGCGCATGTAGGCTCATATGAGGAACACTTTTCTCTGAATATCGTAGAGACTGCCGACAAAACGAGCGTATGATTTAATCACGGTTTTGATACTTCTCCTCTTTTTGTAGTTCGCCAGTAGCCACTTATGGTGTAACGCAGGTCAAAGCGCTGATTAAGTAAGAAGCTAGGCGGATCCGTGCAAATTCCGATTGACGTTTTTGTGTGTGTGTGTGTGGGTCGGCAGGTTTTTTAAACAGTGATCGACACAATTTCGGCGTGCCTGCATATTTACTCGTTCACCATGACGCGTAGCAGGTGCGTCCACTGATAAAGGTTCAGAAACGCATTAAACGCGCTAAAAACGAGCAATTACACGCTTTCGCAGGCTCGGGTGCGCGTGCTCCCAATGCAGACGCTCCTGAGATCTTTAGTACCATAAGAATACAGCGCTGCCGCTACTGTCACCCGCCGGAAAATCAGCCGAGATTCAGCGCGGCCGTCTCGTTCACTCCACTAGTCCCTTCTATACACTGTACTTGCGCTCAACGTTGCTTGAACGAGCGTGCAACGGCACTTTACGTCAGAACAACACAGTTCTGGGCTATCTGAGAATTATACGTGTCTGACCAAATAACAACCATACATTGTAAGCTATTGTAATGCAGTGATGCATGAATCGTGATCATTGTAGTAAATAATTAATTTTGTTTTTGTTTGTAAGGTCTTCATGATCAATCATAGAACATCCAGCTTGAGTTAAATGTTTTGTTAGGTGCACTACGAAAACTTTCGTAATCTTGCTGTTAATATTTCACGTTTTTATACATAACAGCTACCTTTGATTACACCTTCCATCGTGGATATTTATGTCTATTAAAAACGACGTCATTTCCTCTCATGTCAGCCGGCGAATCTGTTTTCGTGTACACGATGGAGTTTTTGTACAGCCTCCCCTTTTGCGTACTTGAAATTCCGAATTTGAAATTAAAGAAGCCGACATGGTTCCACCAACCATCGCCGATGGTTGTCTACTCACTGGTGCTCTTCTCATATTTCCTAGTTTGCGGAGGTAGGAGACGTCTCTCTTCGCGTGTCAGATAAGCTGAGGTGTGGGCTACGTGTTACCGCTCCTTTAACTGGTTTTTCTGGTTCCGCTGTGTTTTGCAGGTATAATATACGACGTTATTGTTGAGCCACCAAGCATCGGATCTACAGTGGATGAGCATGGTCACAGCAAACCTGTGAGTACTGTGAGAACTGGTACAACCGCTAAGTTCACTGGGCTCTAGATTTTAGCGGTTCTTGGTTGCACGATGGTAATTGTGGCGGTAATAGCAAGTGGTCACGGGCAGTCTAATTGCATTTACCTCCTGGGTAATGGTTGTACAATGAGCGCTGAAGTCTGCAAGCCTTTTCTTTGTATTTTTTTTGTGCCCATGCTGCCTCTTACTTATGACAGTACACTGCCACTAAAATACAGCATAGACTTCCAAAGTGCGCACCGTGATCTTAATTTCTGTGGTTTGTGAAATCTGCGTGTCGGTGAATAATGGGAGCCAGTATGCAGTGCTTGTGCCCTTGCAGCAACTGCCAATGAACATGGTGCATTACCTAATTCCTTCTTTTTTTCTTTTTTAGGTGGCTTTTATGCCGTATCGGGTGAATGGCCAGTACATCATGGAAGGTCTGGCTTCCAGCTTCCTCTTCACCATTGGTGGTCTTGGTTTTGTTATCCTTGACCAAACCCACAACCCTAGCACTCCAAGATTGAACCGCATTCTTTTAATGAGCACTGGCTTCATCTGCATCCTGGTGTCCTTCTTCACTTGCTACGTCTTCATGCGCATCAAGCTTCCGTAAGGCACCTACACCAGCTTTTTCTTGAATTTGATGTATGTTGATAGGACCATCGTGGCTGCATTCCTATAATGTAATACATAAAGAACTACTGATACGACTGCCACAAAACGAATCAAGCCACAGGATGCTTTGCACTCTGAACTTACTACTGTCTCAGAGTTACACAATCCTCCCCGCCGCGGTGGTCTAGTGGCTAAGGTACTCGGCTGCTGACCCGCAGGATGGGGGATCGAATCCCGACTGCGGTGGCTGCATTTCCGATGTAGGCGGAAATGCTATAGGCCCGTGTGCTCAGATTTGGGTGCACGTTAAAGAACCCCAGGTGGTAAAAATTTTCGGAGCCCTCCACTACGGCGTCTCTCATAATCAAATGGTGGTTTTGGGATGTTAAACCCCACATATAAATCAATCATAGTTACACAATCTTTTCTGCCACTAAAAGGCGGGTTACATTGGGCAGGGTTATGAAATCGCACACACATGATTCTTACCCATTTCAGTGTGGCATTAGACACTTGATGATCATATTGGTGATCTGTGCTCTGTATTTGTATAGCAATGGCATGAATTGGTGATGAAAGTGCTGATGAAGCCTCCTTATAGTTCTGGAAGTTGTTATAAACTTATGAAAATAATTAAATAAATTGCTGTAGTAAGGAACACAGAATGTGAAGTTTTAAAAGCAAGAACACTAATTGCCCTAGGCTTTGTCAAAACTGGTGCCTGTTCAATTGGCTATATTCATGCTTAGTGACATTTCCTGCTCTCTGAAATGATGTGTGCCTTGTAGCACCACATGGGCACAATTGCTTGCAAATAAATTCACTTGGTCGCCATTGTAGAAAATTAATTCTCCCCAAGAGAAATGTACTGATCTCTACAGAGCCTGTCAATGGGCAGAGTGCTTGCATTCACTCCACAGGGTTGGCCTTGCAGAGGCAATTGAAGTTTTATTTACCATTAAAACTTAAGTCAAAAGACAATGTGCTCGACGTTGTAGAAACTTGCCAAAAAAGTAAGGCATGATCAGAGCTGCACAGCAAATTTTAGTGGCAAATGCATTCTGTAAGTGATGTTTTAATATAACTCCTCCATGGCACCGTGCATTTATTGTTATGAAAGAGGCACTGGTATTTTGCACCTGTGTCACAAGGGCCGTGATGATGACAGCAGTAAGGTCGGCTAATTTTGCCCTTTTCATTCCCCTCTCTCTCTCTAACACAAACGAAACTAATGTGCACATATAAACGAACCCAGCATCAACCAATACTCAAGTGCTAGTTAAGCCTGTGTGATTGTGGTCTAATGGTAAGGGCATGGGGCTGCTGTGCTGGGTGACAGGTCAATTCCTTCTTTAGCCACATAATTGAATTTTCGTAAGGTGTGAGCTATTCGGCAAGACTACAGAGGGGTTAGAAAAGCTCAAAGCTGCATGTTATGCACACGCATGCACGCACACATACACACAAAAAAGAGGTTAGGTAGGGAGGGTTGAAAGGATTGAGGGGGCCCTTTTTTTTTAGACACAATCACATGAAACCAAGGAAAGCATAAGGAAATGAGTTAAAGTGGATGAAAAACACCAGAGTTGGAGAGCAAATCTGCAAAACCTTCGCATTATGCGTGCAGTGTGTTACAAACATAACCTTGACTACAGCCGTTCCTCTTTTCACTTTCTCGGTTTTTAGTATATGTGTAATCTAAAGCGTGTTAGCCAGCACTACTCGTGGCCATGGCAGTAAGTGTAGAACATTATTTTTGCCTGAAGGCATAGGGTAGCACATGATCTTTTTACGAGCTGGCAG